ATACAGCCACATTAAAGTAATCTGGTTTACCTCAGTGTTCACATATTTTACCTATTCTTCTATACAGCAGCAGCTTGTATGTCCAGAAAACAGCCACTAAAGGCGCCAGAGAGCCTGTTTCCTCCATACTGTTGTTTTCTTCTCTTTATACTTTATTTGTTTTTGTGTCAGCTGATGTTATTTAATTAGTTTGTTTTTTTTTCAAATAGTTTTCATATAAACATATATTTAACACAGGAGAGATTAGAGATCATCTACCACAGTCTGAAATATGTGATTTTATTATTGACTTAAGCCTAAACATTAAACCCAAACTTCACTTTTTATCTGCTTGTTGAAAAGAAAAATGTTAGGCAAAACAAACAAAAAATTGTTATTATTTCAGTATTTTGGACTTACAAATAAACTGCCTTCTGCGTTCTCTGGTTTTGTTGGTGTTTTGTCTGTTTTTTTTTAGTTTAGCAGCAGCTCTGAAGAAGCTGGACCCAGAGGATGGGGAGAAGATTATGGAGTATTTTAAAACCCAKGCACTGATGTCCAGAGAAAAAGCTTGTAAGACCAAATCCTTAACGACACTAAAGAAATGATATTAAATTAAAAAGTGACAGCCTAAGATAATATAAAACTAACCTAGGCTAGTCCAACGTAGGAAACAACCAAAATTACCCCAGATATTGAATAATTTAATGATTGATRTCCCTGTTTTGATTGAGGCCGTCGTGCTTCTGTGTGGATGACATGAAGATGTGTGTTGCAGTGCTGCAGGCCTCGGTCAGAGAGCAGAAGAAGCTGCTGGTGGAAAACGCTAAACTGAAGAAAGACATCGAACAGCTGAGATCTCAGCTGCAGGACAAACAGAAGAGACGCCCAGGTACACACAGTGAAACACAAAATACTAATACTTTTATAGTTTCTGAGAACAACTTTGATACCTGAGCTCAGTCCACACAGAAACTCTCATCTACAGGTGTTTTATTAAAAACACTGTTAGTCTAAAYCCCTATCTGACAGGATTAGTTTTACCTAGGGACCCCGTGTAATAAATAAATTACCCCCCAACGTCTGTGTTTTATGTGGCGCATTCGCACGGGATAACCAAAGCCTGAGATTTTCCTGAAATTTACACACATTTCCCGAATATGATAATGAAACCTGGTTAGTTGTTGTCTATTTAGTTGAACACGGCGTTGAACGGACGTTAAAAAAAACAATAAAGATCAAGTTCTCCACTTTTTCCGCTGTCCTCTCCTCCTGCTTACAGCAGACACTGTCATCTTCATGGCCGACAGACCCCCACCCCATCCCCACGCGCAGGTACGAGTGGTACGGATTTTTAGCAAACGTTATAGATTTTTGAGGCTCATTAGGTAAACGTCCAAAGGGGTTGACATATGAACACTTTCACAGTTGGTGAGAGTGCGCGCCAGCTACACAAAGCATGAGCCTACACTGCACTATGGCCACTGCTCCACACTCAGCATCAGCCAGAAGGCCACAAACAGAAAAAAACAAACAAACACATTTTCTTACCGTACAGTGAGCCACCATTTGCATCTGATTTTGCTTCCACTCTTCACACTTTTTTTTATTTATTGCGCACGTAATGTGTTGGGTTTTTCTGGCCCAGGACCAAAAAGGTTTTCAGTGCACTCCAATCCAGCCTCCATTCTTCACCAAAAGTAAAAAAAAAAAAATGCACCAAGAAAACAAAAACTGCCTAATTACATATGGGATTCAGTCCATTCCTGTCCAAATCACAGAGATGCCTGTTT